TCCGTTCTACTGGGAGACAATAAAGCCCACAGGGTTGTTGGAAGTGGATCAATCAGGATAAGGATGTTTGATGGAGTTAAACGAGTACTGAAAAATGCCAGGTACGTATCAGAGCTCAAAAGAAATCTAATTTCTTTAGGTACGTTGGAGTCAAGCGGATGCTCGTTCAAGGCAGAGAATTGCTGCATCAGAGTAACCAAAGGCCCTCATGTCGTCATACAAGGAGTCAGGAAAAAGGGGTTGTACTCTCTTATCGGAAGAACCGTGATTGCTAAGTCCATGTATTGTTTGGACTTAGCAGACTCAAGCAAGGGCTGAGGGCCCCTCAGGGGCCAGGTGGAGGGAATCTTTACTTCGAAGCTTCTCAATTGAGGGTCAAGGTGGAGAATTGTTATTTTGACCCCTAATTAATGAACTAAGGTAAAATGACACTTTTGTAATGTGATACCGCTCAACTACCACATCTCACCCACCGTTCACCTACCGCTCACCTACCGCTCACCTACCTCCCACCAACCACTCTCTTGCTTCTATAAATAGAGAGGGTGTGAGGTCTAGGAGAGCAAGATAAGAGATCTTAAGGGTGTGAGGCTTAGGAGAAAAAAGGGAAGAGATATTAAGTGTGTAAGGCTTAGGAGAGAAAATGGAAGAGATTTTAAGCTACCACAAAGAAGGAGAGAATAGCTAGAGAGTTAGAGAGGAGGAGAGCATCTTGAAGCCTTGTATTAAGGTGTCGCTTGAGATAGAGGTCATAGAAGGAAGATGAGGGCTCATCTCTATGTATAAGCTATGTATTCTCCATTTTTTTTGCCTTAGTGAACTATTTGATTGATTCCCTTCCGTGGACGTAGATCCAGTTGAATCGAACCACGTAAACGATCTGTGTTTGCTTGTGTTCTTTTTCATCTCATTTCTATGCCAGGAAGCAAATATCTCACAACATCTATATTTCATCAAAATAAGAATTCCTGTTTGACTGTCATTATGTTGCCACTCTACTATTTTAATTAAATTTCTAATTCAACCTCAGGCATACAACTTATGCGCATCAAAGCTTGTGCTCCTTGAAAGAAGGAAATTCAAAAGTATTACAAAAATACATTTCCCTTCGCAGCTGAAGGACTTGATGCTTCAATGATGTTATTTGTAAGCTCTCTTTTGCAGTCATCTTCAAATTGGCTTGATTTACCTGAAGAGGCCCTGTCATAAAGGGTAGAAAATTATTCGCTCCAACAACAGAAAGAAGAAAATAAACCTTTAAGCTTTCCTATATTCTTAGACTTCTTTTTTAGCTGCAATCTTCTCTTGTTTAGCTCCTGTGAGAACAAAAAGGCAAGAAACTGACTCAAATACAGAAAATATTACTGTATTTTAGATCGTATACATCAACAAAACACATTGTACATTCCTTATAAATTATAATCTATATTTATTATTCTGATGCATTCACATTCATAGCACACGTTTCTTATGCGTTTACATATATCACATATAACCTTTAATATTTACACAAATAGCATTGAAATTTATTATCACATTAAAAATAATACTATTATCACTTTGCAATAGTGAAATACACATTTTCAAGCATAGATTTAAATCACCAAAATGGTATGTATGTAAAGATGAAAACTTAGGTGTAGGAGAGTGAAGGTGTTTTTTTGTCAAATCCCCCCCCCCCCCCCCCCCAAAAAAAAAAAAAAAAAAGAGACGGAGCTTATTTCCATTTCTTGTATTTATTTAAGAATGTACATATCTAGCACCCAATTCATATTTATTTACATATCTCACACCTATACTTTCATATTTACACACAGCACTCAAATCTTTAATATCGCATCAAAAATAGAACCATTACCATTTTGAAATAGTGAAATACACCTCTTCATGCATATGTTTAAATCACCAAAGTGCTTTGAATGTAAAAATGAAAGTTTAATTGTGAGATATGTAAATACAAAAGAATTATGTGCTGCATATGTAAATTTCCAAGAATAAAAAGCAGAGCTTATTTCCATTTGTCTTTATTTAACAATTAAAATTGAATATATAAGAGGAATTTACATTCATACCTCACAATTCTTATGTATCTACATGTCTCACACCTAAACTTTCATAACATTATGATGTTTTAAACCTATGCATAATAAGACACATTCACTTATAAAGAGTGATAATAGTGATATTTTTTTTTATGTGATATTAAAGATTAGAGTTTTATGTGTAAATATGAAAGTTTAGGCGTGAGGTATGTAAATATATAAAAATTATGTGCTATGCATGCAAATGCCCCTTTTTTTCCTCTCAACGCTAATTCTTAAAAATGGGGACCAAAATACTCTTCCTCCACTCCTCAATAATTTTTTTAGTTTTTAAAATAATATTAAAGAGTTTAGTAAGTCAAGAAACTCCCAAATCTCCTGTATATTTTCACACTTCAATTGGGATATCATCAGCCCCTACAGAGTGTCCACCATTGATTTTCTTTAAAGCATCATCAACTTCCTTTTATTAATGTGACGATAAAAATGAAACATTTTATTATTATTAACGATATTAATAGCACTAAGGTTGATCGTATTTTTAGAAATTTTATTTAAAAATTTATCAAAATAATTCACCCACCTATGTTGGATATCTTTTTCTAAAAAAATACTTTTTGATTTTCATCTTTAATACACTTTAGATGAATTAAATCTCTTTTGGGCTAGTTTATACATATATTTTTCACGCTCTTTGGTATCAATATATTATAAAGATCACTAAAAATAAAATTTTTAGCATCATTCTCTTAGATTCACAAGGGGTTATTTTATATTTTCTCAGTTCTCTAAGTTTTACATGTAAATCAACTTTTATAATATAATTTCTTATATTTTATCTTTTATTGCACATTATTATTCCACCACCAACTATTATTATTTCTAATTTTTTTTTTCTTCAAGTATATCTTTTGTCACTTGTTTAATAGTGTTTATTAGTTTATCCCACGTAGAATTTGTTTCTTTATGAAAATCTCAAATTTTAGAATCTTGAAGTTTACTCATAAAAAAATTTTATTTGTGTTTTTTAGGTGCCCTCATTTAATTCTACGACAATGATTTCTAGTATTATTTATTTTACAACTCTTCATCTTAAATCTACAACTAATAATCGATTTTTAGTACTTAAATCTTCACTTGGAATGACCTTATAATCTTTACATTCCCGACGATCTCTTCTCAAAAGAAAATAATCAATTTGTGTTTTATTAGGTCTCTTCTTATAAGTAATAATATGTTCATCTCTTTTCTTGAATAAAATATTAGCAATAACAAAATCATACGCTAAAACAAAATCTAATATGACCCTTCATTCTTCATTAATCAGTCCAAAAACGTAGCTAGCATGAATATTTTTAAATTTTTCTACAATCAATCGTTATGTACATTTAAATCTACTCAAAAAAAAAAAAAATCTTCAAGAGATATCATTTGTATTGAGTCTTATAGGTCATTCCAAAATTTATCCTTATAACCTATATCTAAACCTACTTCAGGAGCATAAGCACTTATAATATTAAAAATATTGGTATCAACAATGATCTTAAGGGCTATAATTCTATCTTCAATTCTATTAATTTTTAGAACAATATCTTTCAAACTCTTATCTATAATTACACCTACACCATTTCTAGTGTGACTCTTACCTAAATACCAAAGTTTAAAACCTAAGTTATCAATCTTCTAAACATTTTCTTCAACCCATTTAATTTCTTGAATACATAAGATATTTATTTTTCTATGAATCATAATATAAACTAATTCCATTAATTTACATGTGAGAGAACCTACATTTCATAATTTTATCCCAATATTAGTTTCATAGACTAACTTATAGACTAACTTATTTACATGCATTCATCCATAATGTGAGAACCCTTACTTACTTGACACTACACCCAGACTTCGGTGTAGCGACTCTTGCACACTTTTCACTGCATTCAAGTCATACAACGCGTCGTTTCCAAGAGACGCTCTAGTATTTATACAATGATCAAAAGAATTCATATCATGATTTTTGAAAAATTTTGCGCTCGTTGTTGACTACCTAACGCAACCCTCTTTTCACATCCGGGGCTTGGGACCCAACAATGATAGTGATATTTTTTTATGTGATATTAAAGATTTGAGTTTTGTGTGTAATATGAAAGTTTAGGTGTGAGGTATGTAAATATATAAGAATTATGTGCCATGTATGCAGATGCCCTTTTTTTTCCTCTCAAGGCTAATTCCTGACTCACAAACGCAATCATGTGATGGAGCATAAGTTTGCAGTATATAAATCCTGCGAAATAGAACGTCCATACAATGAACTTAATTTGCAAAATTAAATAAATTACAGTTGCATATTAATGAGATTCATACAATAAAATCAAATTAGTCATCACTGCAACTCCCGAAACTACGTATTTCTTAGTTTTGTTCTTGCATTTCGAAAACATCATATCAAATAAAACCACGGAATGGGAACAATAAAACCTAAATATTCAATTCTTTATATGGCTAGCAATCAATTCCAAATTGTTCAACCTAAGATCATCCAACCGCGCAGGACAAGTAAAATACTTCGGAACAAAATCCCCCTTTGGGATAGAAACGATGAAAGTTTATCTATTTGATCGACAAAACTCCGGAAAAAAATTCAGGTATGGGAAGATGGAAGAAGATTTATGAAAGCACTGATCCAATTCATAGAACACAAGAGTATATGCCTTGAATTTATCGAGTTGAGCCTGAGTGACCTTCGAAGACTTGAAATCGGGTTGGAGGACTGGAGTAGCAGCTAGGGCCGCCTCTCTCCGTGCCTCCTCTTCGTCCATAAACGCCATGAGTCTGCTCTCTCCCGCCCGCTCGATCCCTCGATCGCGTGCGCAGGGTTTTTGGCGCAAGGAGATAGTCCCTACTATGTGACCAATTTAGGATATTGAAATGCTCGGCTACGATAATTATTAGATATGTTTTTGATATTCCATTTTAATTAATATTAAAGATAATTTTAACATGATCAGAAATTGGGTGATTTCAAGTATGAGTTATAAGTATATATATATA